GCTCTCTTGGCCTATTTAATTCGCATAGTGGTCCGAATTTGATCTTCCATACCTAAACTTACATGCTGGTGTATAACTTGTTTTCGTGGCTGTAAGACGGTTGTCATACATAGTACGTGTATATTAAAAAGGCAATTGAAGACATTGTTCGGAAGAATGACACGACATCGTGATTATGACAATCTTCCGTTTTTGAATAATATCTAAATTTTTAGAATGAAACAAATGTTTCAAGTTTTCGTCCCTTTAAACACATTATTTTCTCATCACGTGGGCAGTGCAAAACCGCGTTTCAAGTTAGTAAGTACCTACTAGCTTTTACAATAAATACACAAATAATACTTAATGAATGCGTCTTTTCAGTTTATTATATAATTATGTTAAAAGTTGTGATTATAATTTATTGCTGGATTAACACATTTTTTTCTCATACCTTGTAGTCCCTTCTAACTACAAAATATCAGTGGTCTCTGGTCAAAAAAAGGTTGGTAAACCCTGTTTTAGACGGACAGGTTGAGATCAAAATTTTATCAAATGATAATAATAATACGATCGTTAAATAGGCATTATAGCTGCCAAGTAAAATAATCGTAAACATGGAAATTTTTTACTAAAATGATAAAACGTTACCTATACTTACACAAGGATTTTCTCCTGTATCGTGGGGACAATTTACATACATAAATTTCACAAGGACAAATATCCAGACTTGGAACAATTATTTGTAGCCTATGTAAATACTTGTTACGTGTGAGATTCGAACCGACGGCCCATACCGCTGCAACTCATTGTTAAGCCACTGCGCCACGGAGTTGTCGCATCTTTTGAATTGTTCATTTTTTTATTTAAAAGACCTTAATATGTATATAGTCACAAAATACTTTAATAGACCTGACGACTCACGTTGAATAAGAATTTCAAGCTATCTAATGTCTAATGACGTGTATGTAACGTAACACAACCATACTTTAGTACTTACAAACTTCTAACTTCTCATTTTCAGACATCTCATCGAAATCCGTGATAAACACTTGCGCTACCTGCTCCCACGCGCGCTGCTTTCTGTTCCTATGCCTATTGTCCTCGCTGTTTAGGTCCCATATCTCAGGGTACTTTTCCACTTCACTTATAAACATCTCGACGTCCAGACAATATGTCATTTTGTATATCTACCTACACTAGCATAATTAATATAATATTATTTTGCACTCATATTACCTAGCTTCAATCAGTCTTATCTATTTACGTAAAACGTAGTAGCGTTTTTGTTGCGACAAAGCGCGCGTCTGTTCCACAAGCAGCCCGAGCTGAAGTGGATTGACGCAGCGTTGCCGGTGCGGCGTCGCTGCGACTCGTCGCGCTTCGGCTGCGTTCCTCGGTGCGGCAACGTCGCACTGCGGTCTTTACCTTTGTTACTTTTTCTGCGTTCCCATTCGTGTTGTTGAAAAGACTGATCCCCTGTTTTCGAAATTTTTATATTTCTAATTTTTATGTTTTTGAACTAAGTCTAGAAAATTATGTTTAGTCGACACAAAAAATATTTAACGAAAATCGCATCACAATTACTTAAAACGAAATTTATTTATATTTTTTCCCAAAAGTCTTGAAAGTGGAATCGTCATTTACAGAGATGAGCCATGATGAATCAAAATACAGGTGTGACGCTAAGATGCTATGCCCTACTTAGCCAGTAAACAAACAGGGTCTACTTTCACGAAATATAATTATTGCTTTTTGTAATTATATAATGTATATATACATGGTAGAACCATGCTGCAGCTATATTATGGTTGAAGCACGAATGGGTCGGCTCGACCGGTTAAGGACCACACTCACAGAATACCAGCGGTAATTGAGGCATAACTCTCCTGTGTTTCGTATAGTGCGTTTAGAGAACCGGATAATCAAAAGTGACAACGCATCTACATTTTGATTTTTAATCGAGAATAAATGTAGATGTCTATAGGCCACAGAAACCAGGTACTAGATCAGGTGGACTGTGTGCTCTTTTGTCACCCTTATTCTATAAAAAAAAATATCAAACTTATTATTTAACTTAGTTCCATCGAAGTATTTTACATAAGTATTAATTATGTTGATTAGTGCCAGTGTTTTTTTGTCGGTGGCAGTAACCATAAATTAGTTTGACTTTGAAGCAGTTGTCTTTATTGTTTTGAAATGATAAATGTTTCTAAGACTACGTTATGAACTCTACATAAGCGCGTCCAGTCCAGTTGAAGTTCAATTGAAGGACATTCCGTCGTAGCGCAGTCACTGTGTTTATTTTAAAATCACGGCAGATGTGTAGGAGGTAGGTATATTTTGTTGAATTGAGGTAAAGAATGCTAAATAAGTTTGTAATTCATGGCCTTGCGTAAAATTGCCATCTTTTATATATAGCGTATAATAACTATATATATTAAAATGGGGTATAGTATGTATTTTTGCCTTTTGATAATATAAACGCTGTAGGTATGTGCACTTACGAGAAACCTGCAAGAAACGGGTTCCGATCCCATAATACTTGTTTTAAAGATATGGAAAACATTGCGAAACTATCGAATTTTCAATTTAAATTACACACATTTTTGCCTTCTCTTATTTGTTTTTTATAGGAGATGCGGCTCACCTGATGGTAAGTGACTACCGCCGCCCATGAACAATTGCAACACCAGGGGAATTGCAGATGCGTTGCCGGCCTTTTAAAAAGGAGTAGGCTCTTTTCTTGAAAGTACCTAAGTCGTATCGTAAAAATTGCTGGTGATAAGCGATTCCACAAGGAAGTTGTGCTAGGAAGAAAACATCTTCTAAAGCGCACAGTGGTGGACCGCCAATCATCCAGATGATATGGTTGGTATCGCGAGTGTTGTCGCTATGTGAGATGGTGAAATTGAGCGGCTGGAATGAATCCGAACAATTCCTCGTATCACTCCCCGTGGTAGATGCGATAAAATACGCAAGGAGATGCAACATCTCTTCGCAGCACCAGTGAATCGAGCCGATCGGAAAGGACTCGGTCGTCAACGATTCGAGCCGCTCTGCGTTGGATGCGGTCAATTGGAAAGAGCTGGCACTGGGGAACCTAGAGATTGGAACAGTATTCCATGTGAGGCCGAACCTGCGACTTGTATAGTTGCAGGTGGTGTGCCGGCATGAAATACTGTCCCACTCTGCTGAGCACGCCAAGCTTTTCAGAGACCAATTTGGCCTTGTCTTCCAAATGACCACGAAATTGCACGTCACTCGATATGTCGACGCCGAGGATTCCGATACTGGCTGAGGCAACAAGGGGAATGCCTTGAAACTGAGGGGAGATACGACAAAGGGGTTCTTTGTAGCGGTAAACGCGCAAACTTGTGTCTTCTGAGGATTAAACTGGACTAGATTTAGTCGCCCCCAATCCGAGACTTTGTTCAGCAAAGACTCGACTTCAGACACAAGTTTGTTCCGGTACTCGGCGACGTTTTCCCGAGAAATATTGGCACGGCCGGTGTATAGAGCATCACCAGTGCTGTCATCCGCATAGCAATGAATGTTACCGGTTTGCAACATATCATTGATATGCAGAAGAAACAGCGTTGGTGATAGCACGCAGCCTTGTGGAACACCAGCGTTAATAGGCTTGTATTTGGAGCATGCACCGTCTTCTACGAGGTTCATGCTCCGATCAGCCAGAAAACTGGTGATCCATAGAGTACGCCTTATCAGCTTTCATCGCTAAAGAGATTTGTCGTTCTTTAGAATATTATATTATTAAATATACTCTCTAAGTTATAAGTTAGAGTCACTGCCGCAGTTTTAAAAAAGTATTGAAGAAAACAGAGAAAATAAAAAGGAAAAGACTATTTACGGTCATACTTATTTGAATATTTTTTGCCTAAAATAAAAGCAAACCCAAGAATGAACATTCAACTTGGACCATTTATCTAGAAGTCTAGAAATTTAAAAAATTAAAAATGCATTTTTCCCGTTACGAGAGAAGGTTTCGGGCAGTGAATAACCGCGGCCGGTTCCGAATTCTAGGAGTAATGGCGAAACTTTAAAGTAATTACACAAGTTTTCAATTTAGAATGGCACGCTCTCCTTCGTGTATAATATATTTTATACGCGGGTAAAATGTTGGCTTCGACCGCGGTGATGATACATATTACATTGTAGTATGAAATTTCTAAAGAGATGGACAGGGCCATTACCTATATAAATTTTAGAACATATGTAATGGTCCGTTCACATGATCCGTTAATAGAGTACTAATCTCTTCAGTGGGATTGTTGCCTTTGACACTAGGCAGTTGCATTCGAGGGCATGTAAGCGGGCCATCAGACAGAAAATAGTATATGGGAAGGTTACGTCATCTGTAAACCACAAAATGTAACCATCATATAATGTAATGAAAAAAAAAACCGTGATTGATAGGTGGAGTTATTTTTAATATACGTTTTTTTATTCCATTTATTTAGAGGAACAATTATTTGCCGGCTGGCTATACAAATTATCTTCAAATTCCTACGGGATCAAACCCGTGGCGTCCTACGCCATTATTAATCGCTTAGACATTGCGATAAGGAGCTATATCCTAATGGGAAGGTGGATAGTAGAATGAGAATCCAGTTATCTTCATTCATTCACTATTTTATTAATAATAAGACCGGCCGTATTTCGGTTACGGCTGCCAATCTTACGTGCATCCGCAATCACAAGTGTACGCTCTATTCCCTCACTCTCACAGTCCTACGTGACGACAATCTGACTTGACCAGAGCGAAATCAGGAGCAGGAATGACGGTTTTCCATGCTTTGCGATGTACGGGAGTGAAACGCAGCCATATTCCTGCCTCCGAGCTGTTACTGAGAATTTCTTGACAGGAAACCCGACCCGGGATTCGAACCCCGACTGAAGGAAGGCTAATGAGGCAGTCAAATAAAGTATTTCATAAACATGTGTGGCAAAACAGAAGTATTTTGGTAAACGCTTAGTAATGATCTTATTGTTTGTTACAGGTACCTAAGTATATCGAGGTAAGGAATTCATAATACATTTTTATTTGTAACAATTTATTATTCTGATTACAACGAAAACAGTCTTTGCATAACAAATTCTTAGTATTCTATACATATTTACATATTAGATAGCAAGTCTTTAGAGTAATGAAGTGTCACGGAAGCATTGTTTTACTTCTTTTAGAATACAATGTACAGTATCTTTAAGGCGCTTGTGAATAACTTATTGACAGTATTGGAGACTAAACCTTGCAAAATATAAATTATAAACAAAAAACGATGTTGTTGCAATCAGGGATTGATAACGGGTTTCAAATATCGTTAACATTTATATTAACAATAAGAGAATATCGGTCGGCATTTAGTCCGTATATACGTATTCGTATGTTTTCTCCCTACAAACATTAGAGCAAATATTGTTTTACAATACAATCTATGTCTACCAGTGTCATGTTCTTGTGTATCGTTTTTATCCAAAAATTAATAATTTTCAAACCTAGGAACGTTTTAAATTACTAATATTAAGAAATCCAGAAAACAAATTTAAACAGCACAAAAAAAAACCAAAAGAAAAACATACAATCAAATCAGTTCAGTTTTGGAGGAGGAAATAAGGGAGTACTGAAAAATGAGTTCGTAAGTTTTTCGTAGGTATAATCAACCCGAACTGCACGGAATGCAATTGTCTGTAAAAATATATTCTGCAAACTCCTTGCAGCCAGATATCCTCTTAAAGTTCTAAGAAAGAGTACCGTTTGAAAAGATTGATTTCACATTCGTGGCCTTAGCTTTAAATTTATTTTTATATAATTTCTTTAATTTTAAATTACAAACTTAGGGCAGAGAAATGTAAGACTACATGATGCCTTCGCCAGCGTAAAATAGCAGCTTGGTTCCTCTGTTTCGTATGGAGAGTGCAGAGAACCGGAGACCCTTTTTACTGGAAACGAGGCATTTCATGTTAGTCCTCAGGAGTGACAACGTATCTGCGTTTTGATTATTCATCGGGGATTGATGTAGATGTCTATAGGCCACAGTATCCACTTATCATCAGGTGGACTATGTGCTCGTTTGTCACCTTTATCCTAAAAAAATGTATCCTCATTTCAATCTCTAATTGTAACTGTATTTTATTTACATGTGTCGCGTCACGACTTAAGCACACGTTAAAAGAATAAAATAACTAAATTAGTAGCTACGCGACTTGCACGAACCGTAAGAATGTCAATCGGAGCTGTCCCGTCGCTGGTGCTTCACGTCTGTAATTCGGGCGTTGTCCGTGTTGGAGCTGCCAGGCTGTTCGTTACTGAAATGGCAGGCTACAGCCTCTTGCATTATATTCGCTATCTGTGCCCGCGTCCACATCTTGATGTTCAACGGAAGCTGTCTCATCTCTGGCAGAAACGAGAGCAGGAACAGCTTGTCCGTGTCAGCCTCCATGTCCCCCGGTATTTCTACATTGTTGAACACCGGCATCTCGACTTCATCCTGGGGCGGTTCACTGTCCGAGCTGGACTTTTTGATGCGTTTCTTTCGCTTCGGTTGTTTTGCGGAACTGGGCTTTGTATGTTCTTTGAGGAAATCGATGTCGATTATTGTGGTGTCATCACTGCAAATAAAGGTCATTGTATGATATAAACAGACAACAACTTTGGCATGGGTTGAAGTGTATAAGAGTGTAAATTAAAAAAGTAAAAAGCCAATACTGCTCCATAGATCTAAAGTTCTGCCATTATCGGATATAGACGTATTAAAAAAGATAGACATGTTAGACACTAACATTATTTTATTTTAAAGTGGCGCAGGTAGTACTATATCTACGTACAGTTATTTATTATGACACGTTGCGCTAACAATAAGAGACAAATGATACGGCATACCTATCGTTAGAAAAAAATTAAAAAGAAAGCTAGCGTCAAAGTTTACACTAGCGGTTAGTGTTGAAATAATAAAACTATTTATGAACAAAACATCTTATATTCAGAATATTAATGAGACGTTTTTCTTGTCTCTAACAGTTGCCTTGTAATTTGTGCACCACCTAATAAAACACAGGAAGGCATTTTTCTACGAATAACTAGAAGATTTATTTACTCGCTGTAGCAAAGGTATAGCCGCAACGCGAGAGCGTGGCCGACTGATGCGAGTCGGGCAATTACCTGACTTTCGTATTGCCATTTTAGACCGAGTATGACGTATCTATACTTTAAAAACATCTATGAAAATAGTCGCGGATTGCAGTACCAGAAGTCTGAGTATTTTACATAACTTTACAATGGTTATATTATTTCCTTGAGTCGCATCTTACCACGCCTAAGGAATGAGATCACGAACTATTGCTTGGATATCACAACCACGTGAAAATTAAGTAGTGAGTGTAACGTCCTCCAGACTGTATTTCGGTCCCGGCGGCCAGTCTCAACGAAGACTTCAGGACAGAATTATAATATCAATAATATTAGAAATTATAGTACACGAGTGTGTGCGCAAGAACATGTGCTCTGTATATTCTTCACTCTCATAGTCTGGTGGGATAGCAACTTTCTGACTCCAGGATGCTAGTGAAAAATTCCCGTGACCTCATGACAAGCAGTTGCGCTAACGATCACTACATATGAGGCAGTCGCAGCAGTGAGTATATCTGACATCTGATCCTCTAGTTACTCCGTGGGTTTGGGTCAAACTCTCACACTGCTCACTTTTTTCGGTATGGATATTTGCCATCTGGATAGCATAAGACAACATATTCATAATGCAATCATTGGGATATGAAATATCTCTGGTGTCTACCGTGGCAATTACGAAACCCATGTGATGAAATGGGTTTGGCGATTTTCTTACAACGCCACCATTCAACGCACATAAACAACTTTTAGATGCTAATGAAATAAAAACACTAAATCTTTGCATTATTAGTGTGAGATTAAATATGCGAATTGATATTCCATTTTCACAGAAAAGAAAAGGAGTCCACCGCCTGGTGGTCTGTGTTTCGGACTGAAAGGGTATAGAGAACTAGTAAAGTTACAGACTTCGAGGCATTCCATCTTAGTCCTCTCTCCTCAGAGGTGCCTCTGAGGAGTGCACTTGAGATGCCATCTGGAGCTTCCTTTATTTGATTTGAAGTTGGTTGCAGATGTCCATGGGCTGCAATGTCCACTTACCAACCGGTGAACTGTAATTTCGTGTGTCGCTTCAATTTCATAAAAATATAGTCAACCTCGCGAGTGCACACTGCTCACTAATGAACGAGGACGAGACTCTGGCGAATTCATCAAAAAATTCTCAATATCACACAGACCGGTATTCACGAGCAGCATTACATATTTTCGAGTGAGTGTAAGGTGCTGGTTAGCTCTGAGCTCAAATGTTCTGAATGATATGTGCAGCCTTCAGCAAATGTCTTAAGGGCTTGACGAGCTTGAAAGATTATGATGTAGTTAGAAATATTGGGATTGATCTTAATTGTCGATCTGTTAGTCTTAAACTGCATTTTATAATGAATTTGATGATACGAAGGCCCATTGTAACTTTATTAAACTGTATTTAATGTTACAATTTGACTTTTATGTCACCTTTATTACAAATTTATCTGATTTTAACGTAAGACTTTAAGTAATTTACTTTTTGCTACTTAGCCTGCAGCTTGTAGAATGAGTGATTTGCAAGGTGGATAAAGGCGTTGCGAAAATATATGAAAACTCATTATTTTAGTCATTTCCGACGCCAATCTGCGCTTGCAATAAGGACTAAGCTATTTTAAAATGAAACATCGGTCGAAATCTGAAGTCAGCATTACCGATTGAGACTTGCAAATCTGACAAAAATATTGCGAATAATTTTGAAATAATGCGGATGCCAAAAACTATAATCAGGAAGAATGTAAGAATGAGCAAACGTCTTCTTCATATCTGTGGAGCTGATTAATTTAAATTATTGTTACAAAATTATTCAAATAGACTCACTCTTCACTAAGCGTCCCCTCGAATCCCCCTAGGAAGCTCATCCTCTTGAAGTATATGTAGACACGCCTGTGTATTCTGACACCGGATCTTCTTGCTCGTAGCTCCCGGTTATATGCGTCACGCAGCGACCGCCATTTCCTTTGTATCTGCAGGACTGGCCAAATTATGATTTGACCGATCAATTTATACTTGGTAGGAAACATTTTTACGACTTAAATGATTGTTTGAGCCAACTTTGTAGGTTAATTAACAACATATTTATAAATAATGGCCATGTACCATAAACAACATAACCCTTAAAAACATTATAACACCCGTGTTATAATGATATTTTGTTACATAAATATTGTTTATCGCTATTATTATACACATATATCTACAAAGTTCGTACTAAACTGATTATAAAATATCATTCAATAACATAATTCAACAAGACGTGATCTTGAAAACATGTCTTTCGACAAAAAAAAACTAACCACTCTATTATCCTTGAGAATATAAACAAGCCGATAGCCTTTTAATAAAACATTACTTCGAGTTTTCCAGTCCACGTGTAATGTCGCGCAAAATTTAAGGATCGTAATCTTTGTCTTTTATTACGGGTTGTAAGTTTGTAAAATTGAGCTTAAGCCTATAGGCGCGAGTAACACCTCAGTGGAGAGAGTTAGCATATGCATTTTTAAACGATCACCACTCCGAGCAAAGAAAAACCGGTCAAATGCGAGTGTGACTCGAGCACCGAAGGTTCCGAACAAATCCGTAGGTATATAAGTTTACAGTTATTAAAAATATTTTTATCATATGATGTAACTAAAAATCTATGCTTTTCGCAATTTTTCCTTTGTCTGTGCTATAATACGTTGCTTCGTACCAAATTTTAAGATTCTGAGTTCACGGGAAGTACCCTGTAGGTTTTGATTGTTTGATTTGATGTACCACCATTACCATCAGGTGGACTGTAAGCTCGTCTGCCAATTCAGTTTTATAAAACAATGCAAAATTATATATTATGTAATTGTTTTATTCCTATATGCATAATAATATAGAGACACATGTGGTAGAGCCCAGCTGCAGCTATATTTATAGTATAGTTGTAGCACGAATGGGTCGGCTCGACCGGGGAAGGACCACGCTCTCACAGAATACTAGCGTAATATAGCAGCTTAATGCTGCTGTGTTTCGTATGGTGAGTATAGAGAACCGGAGACCCTTTTTACTGGAGAAACGAGGCATTCCATCTTAGTCCTCACGGGTGAAAACGCATCTGCATTTTGATTCGCAAGAGAGCGATGTCTATGGGCCTCAGCAACAACTTACCATCAGGTGGGCTGTGTGGTCGTTTGTTACTCTATTTCTATATAAAAAAAAAGGGAAATCATTAATTTATTTTTAACAAAAACACAAAGAATTAAACTACTTTTACGGATTCTATCACATTTAATTAAGTTATTTTTTTAATACCCAACGTTTCGGGTGCTTTACAGCACCCGTGGTCTCGGGGGACTGAGGTTATCGACGTCCCGATGGTCAGAGTTAACCAGGAGTACCTTCAGCTTTTTTGTGTTCTTTTACGCGGGATTCACAATTTAATATAAAAACTAAACCCAAGCATACCTGCAAGACTTCAACACCCAGTAGTAAAGTTCATTCTGCGTAGATCGGGCCAAAATTAATAATTAAAAAAGCTGAAGGTACTCCGGGTTAACTCCCGGGTTAACTCTGACATTGGAACGTAAAGCACACGAAACGTCGGGAATTAATAAAAAATAAGTTAATTAATCGCGATAAAATCCGTAAAAGTAGTTATTATCCAATGTGTAGTGTTCGCGTAAGTATAAGAAATCATTATAAAAACACAAAGGCCAAGCCCACTCAATGGGGTTAAAATGATCGCGCATACAAGTTGTGAAAAGTAGAAGTCTTCGTGCGGAAAAAAACCTATCTTTGTTGACGACGTATTTTAAATTATATAGTAACATACGTATTTCTGTGATTCCACCTACCACATAAAGACACAAACAAAATTCATATCAAATTATAAATAATTTTCGATAATTATTAACTTATTGAATGACTATGTAATTTTGACGTCGCTATCATAAAGGCTCATTTATTTCATAGAGAAAAACAAACATTCAAAGATCATTAAGTTGAGTTGAGTACTTTATCTTCACAGAATTTATCTTCCAAGCAAAACATGTTATTACATAGGTATTTCAAGTTTTAATTGCTTCAGTTTAAGAAATAGTCGTTTTAACTAATATTATGTAGAACCTAGCACAAGAATAGATATATAAGATAGCTGCTTACGTGTGTGTACCTGTATGATACATCGTAGCCTTATTTAACGTGCTCCAGTTTGGAAGCAGCGCGTCTCCGATCTCTTTCCACAGCTGCATTCTCTCCATTCGATCTGCCGGACGCTCCGAGTCGTACAGTCCCGGTCGCTTTTTAACCTCATCGATCAATTTAAGAGGGTTTATGCTGTTAATGGCGGCTATCTCGGTGTCCGACATAAGTGTGCGACAGAAAAAACGCAGCGGGCACTCCGCGATGCAAGCGCGACACGACTGCCGCGTCTGTCGGCGTTCACTGCGCACACTGGTTGCTCGTGATTGGCGCACTGGCGGCGGCAGTTGCGATCTTGCACGACAGCGACAGCCCGCCCCCTGCGACTGCCTAGTCGCGCGGCATATTCAAACCTTATTTATTTATTTAGTTAATCGTTATTGGACCTTACAACCAGTATAGGATCAAAAGGCGGACTTAATGTTAAAAACATTCTCTAACACTAAACCCCTACAGAATGAAATAACGTTATTATACATAGAATACACACATACATATTAACAAATACACATATAAGTATATATATTATAAGAAAATATAATATAAGATATTGGTTAAACTAAAACAGACTTAGCTGTGTTGCTGATTTAAAAACAAATTAATAATTCCCGTTCATGAATTTTCATTGGCTAATTTCCAAAAAGTGAAGTTGTATCTAAAACGCAGTCGGACGAAAATAAATAAGACGCTTATCTCGTTTCTGTTTTGGAACGTAAAAGTAGAAATTATGTTTTATTCGTGCACACGTGAATCGTAAATAATCGAATCGTTCATTATTATGCGTAAAGAAATTTCAATCCAGTCAGTCATTGCGACACGCTTAAGTATGTGCTAGCGTGATTAAAATCAACCAAACTTTTAAGTGTCCTAAATATCCTTTACACTTCTGTTACACCTGTTTTTAAAAGATCATGTCTTCTAAATTTCTATATTATAAGCTTTTTGATAATGCATATTAAATAGAAAAAATATATCCGATGTCCACTTGCGTCAATTCTTTTGCAGTCAATTTAAAGAAGAAAATAATTGTTTCTTTAGTCCTTTTATACTTCATTTAAGAACACTAAATTTTAACCAACAAGTAAACGTAAAATTCGTTTAAATCTTTTCTATTGAATGAATAAGTAATACCTGTCAAGGCCAATGACCTCGTCCTGTGATAAGTGTCGCTAAATTTTTCAAGCGTTTTTGTTTTCATTCCCAAATTAATATTACGCCAAAAAAGTACCTGTTCGCATAGCAATGAAATAACTATTATACTATTGTAAAAGAATTTAAAAGATCATACTTTTTTAATTTGTAATCTTGCTACATTAGCATATTTATTATAAAATTTTGGCCTTGATCACAACGCCGATACCTGATATTATTATCTTCGTGAGCGCGATGTTGTCAACTCGCACTAAGTGCGCGAGGTTGCCGTTCCGCTTTTGTTTTTATTATAGACGCCCATTACACGGTAGGTTTTGCTGTCAGTTTTACAACAATCACGGTTGTGATTGACGAATAACCTATCGTGTAATGCGGTGATTGACGGTTGCAAAAAATTGATTGACAAATATCTGGATATTTTGATTTTTACGTCAATCAACTATTAGTCACGAATTTTGATTGAACGTGTAATGACATTTCGTCAATCACGCGTCAGTCAACGCTTAGACAGCAATGAAGGCGGACGCAGAATATATTGAAGAGGCTGCTTCTACGCGCTCGCGCAGCCCGTCGCCACTCCCACCAAATGTGTTTCAGCCAGAAAAAGATTTTATTTTAAATTTTCAGTCTCTCCCCGAGTTGTGGGACACGAAAAACCCCGGGTAGGTTGGATGCCCCTAATACCAGCCACGCCCCTAATTCCAGCCTTTCCGCCTTTTTACTTCGTAAATAAGATTTCTAGTAGTCTTAACTACAAATATGGTCGGCTAAAATTCTTCGTAATTAGAGGAAAGTATATTTCAAATATTACCTCACAGTTTTAAACCTAACAGTGTTAAATTAAAAATCAAAGCATAAGCCATAGAATTATTACGTAATAATTTTATGACATAAGCATATTTTACATTAGCTCATCTTTAGGCGTTTTGATTTGTATGAATGTGACTATAGACATTTTCTTTTAGTGGAAATTAATGGGGCTGTAATTAGATATACGAAATTTATGGAGTGCATATTGTCAGTCGCCCGACTGTTATTTGTTTTGACGTAAATAATAAGAAGTACCTTATTTTAACCATGTAATATAAATCAGGGCTGTCATAAACTAGAATAAATACCATTAATTTGAACTCACACAGAAAACCAACGTAGAATAGCAGCTTAACGCTGCTGTGTTTCGTATGGTGAGTGTAGAGAACCGGAGACCCTTTTTACTGGCAAAGAGGCATTCCATCTTAGTCCTCACGGGTGACAACGCATCTGCATCTTGAGTCTATATTGAGGATAGATGTAGATGTCTATGGGTCATAGTAGCCACTTACCATCAGGTGGACTGTGTGCTCGTTTGTCACCCTATCCTATATAAAAAAAAAAAACATAACTTATTTTATAGTGAAGTAAGTTATGATCAATTCGTCTATATTTTAAAATTGGTGTTTGATTTAAAAGTTTAACAAATGATACGTACTTGCTTTTCAGACATTTGGTATATGTTAAGAACACCATACAATATTTAATTATTTTTTGAGAAAGACAAAAACAAACAATAAATGTAATTAACTACAACTTAGTAATACTAATTTTACTATAACTTAAGAACATAAATGAAAATCATAAAAAGGAAAGTGGTTCAGGACCATGCTTTGCGGCAGTCTATGGAGAATGATGTTCTGTAGTCGACTTGTGAAGGGCTGAAATGATGATAAAGATTCAAAAACTTGGATGATTAAATTATAAGAAATCGGTGTACTATAATACATAATTTTTAATATAATATTGTTTTAATTAATTGTTTAGTGTTAAAAGAAAAATTTAACTGCTTAAAGCTAAACCACAGTAAGGTAAGAAGTAAAACATTAAAATAAAATAATTGTTGTCGTAATACATATTCCATACTTGTGACATGCATGATTTAAAATTAAAAGTTGTTATGAATTTATTTCAGTGCCCCTAAAATTTAC